ATCTGGAAAGACGGAATCTTCAACCAGCTGCCTCAAAATGACGTGAAGAAGATTAATATAGTAAGTAAAAGGTGAATTGGGTATCAGGACGGTGTTGTGCTGAACCCCGAAAAGGATGCTGCCAAAGCCAACTTTCCTTTGCCGCAGCGGCGGAGGGACTTCGTCAAGAAAGCCATGCAAAGCCTGAAGGAGACCTCAGATGATGTTGTGCAAAGGCTGAAATGGGTGTCCTTTGACAAGACCGCGTTCGAGCTCCTACTGTCGAGATTTTCTACTCTCAACGACAGCATGACCAATATTCTGGACGCCCGGATGCAGGTCGAAATCCACCACACCGTTCAGGATTCGAATCGTGGGATACTTCAGCTACACCATAAAATCACTGACCTGTCCCGGCTCGTCATGGCCCTGAACGTCAAGCTGGAAGCCAGTTCCCCTCTGCCAGCGTCACAAATGTCAGTCGCGCAAAAGCGTGCCAACGCTGATGGTCTCCAGCTACTGTCTCAGCTAGCCAAGTTCAAGGCTTTCAACGAGTCGATCGAATCCAACAAGAAAACCCCATGGGATGAGGCCACGGCCATGTGCTTGGAGTTGGGTAGCCCGGACCACCAAAAACATCTCCTACTTGACCGGTCCATGGTGCATATTGACCCAGCTGCCGAGGAATCTGACGAGCCGAGGTGCGAAGCCACGCTCCGTCTTTCTGACGGCACAAGTAAAAAGGTGTGGGTGGAATGGAAGGACTACGAACCACAGAGGCCGGAAGACCTTTCGCCCCCCAAGACCGTCATCTGCGAACGGGTCCGAAAATTGGCAGCGCTCTTGAGCCATTCCCCGAAGCCCGAGGCCTTCAGGACCCCTCATTGCCTGGGCTTCTTCGACAAGGCGAGCGCTGGCGGGGTGGAAGACGAGGAGGAAGACATACTAAATATGCGCCTTGGGCTTGTCTTTGAGAGACCCCTGGACGATGGTCTACATACATCCCTTCCGCCCGTCTCTCTCCGGGATCTACTCCGTTCTGCTCGCAAGCCCCGCGTTACAGACCGAGTCAAGCTCGCCCATGCCATCAGCAATTGTCTGCTGTACCTGCACGCCGTGAATTGGCTACACAAGGGGCTCCGCAGCCACAACATCATCTTCTTCCGGGCGACCGACGGTCAAGTCGATTACGCGAAACCGTACCTTTCAGGATTTGACTTCTCCAGGCCTGCCCGAGCCGATGAGATGACCGACATCCCCGGCCCCGGCGACGATGCCGAGTACAATCTTTACCGGCATCCTCTCGCACAGTCGACGAACCCGGAGGAACGCGAGCGCTTCAAGAAGAGCTTCGACATCTACAGCTTGGGCGTGTTGCTAGTCGAGATCGCGCACTGGGCAAGCGTCGAGCAGGTCCTCGGCATTGACATGAACGCTGCGAGGGGGCGGCCATCGATCGCTCTGAAAGTTCGTGAAAAACTCCTGGGTCGATGACCAGATTGCCGACCTAGGTGCCTCCATGGGTGCCGTCTACGAGACTGCTTTCTCGGGAAGTGCATAACAGGAGGGAAAGAATTGGGTTTGTCCGAGGGCGATGATGAGACGGATGATGCCGTGGCTGCCCGACTTTCTATGGTTCTTCATGAGGATGTGGTCAAGCCGCTCGGCGATATCCGAATCTAAGGTGTTCGAGGCTTTCTTTCATGGGGGTCCTTCAGCCCTTCAATGCAATGCAGGCTTAGCGAGGTCCTTGGGGTTGGGCTGCTGGCCGTTAGATGGTCGACATGACATGTTCTCCGCAGTCCCATCCTTGCCCGAAGGCCCGCTCTTACCACGGACCGGGTCCGACTCTCGTCACTTTCGCGGCTTCGGCTGACCGGAGTAACGATGGCCGTGCGTTTGGTGGAGGAAATGGTTGAGAACCACCCGCTGCAGCTCACATTCCATGATGAACCCTCTCCGCCCTGGCAGGACCCCCATTTAGCCTGTTCAAATACAGGCACGATGTCACTCACGCTTCCATGATCTTTCCGCCGCACCCGGGTAGAAGAAGCTTAGCTTTTTCGACCCGCTCAACCCCACGATCAAGAAAGATCGTTCTGGGGCCAAAATTCAGCTTGGACGGGAGGCTGGAGCGGCGGATAAACTTTACCGACCACAACGCGGGTTGGGTCTAATCTCGGAACCAGGTTGCTGCTTGGTCATAACCGAAAACAAAAATGGAAAAGACGGCAGGAACATGCACATGCAGTATGTAGTTGCGATGTCATCAAGGACGGGGCGAACTGCATGTCCGCCGGCCAAATGGGGTCGACGCGTTCATATTAAGAGACCCAGAACTATCCTTTTCGTAGTGTCCTCTCCCCATGTCTCGTCCTCGTTCCCGTTGCATTCGGACCCAGCGTCAATATGCGCCTTGTCGGTGTGACCCTGGCTCTGGCCTCCTTCGTGGCAGGCGAGTCCCTTAAACGGTTGGACACCAGCTTGACCATCTTGACCAACAATGATCTTCAGGGTACGGGCCAATGCATAGTCCCTCAGAAAAGTAGGCTAACGTCGCTGTAGGAGAATCAAGTCCCAACGCAGACAAGGCTGTGATTCTCACGGATGCCCGCCCCTACCAGGATGTATCCGAAGTGTGTTCCAAGCTAGGTGAGCGGCTGTGGGGACCAGGACAGGGACAATGCAAAAGAAACACCGCGGCCGTACCGTTTGCCGAGTCGTTGAAATATGACGGGATTGTTGATGCCTCGTCCAAGTTCTGGGTTTCGGGTTCCGATTCCAAGGCCGTGGACGTAGCTGGGCGGTTCAGCAAAGCCAACCCTTCAAAGTCGCGGTTCCTCGGGCTGTGCACCAACACGGCACCGTTCTCGACGCAGAGTTCCCAAGACACGGACGACAAGTGGCAGATCAGCCTGGACGTCAACAACCAAACTCTCACTGGGTGAGCCTGACAGAACAAGTATGAAAGAGACTCAGCTAACCCCTTTAGCTTCCGGGATCGCCTCTCTTTCCGTTTTCTGGGTATTCGCTATGCGCCGCAGCCGCAGAGGTTTACTTACCCTTCGCTGTTCCAAGGGTCCGGGGAGGCGGCTTCCGCCCTGTCATATGGCTCTCAGTGTATCCAAGGGGGCACCGGTAGCGAGGACTGCTTGTTCCTCAATGTGTGGACTCCTTACCTGCCGAATCCCAACGCGAAACCCAAAAAGAAGACCCTCCGCCCCGTTGGCGTGTGGATTCATGGGGGTGCCTTCACCGGAGGGACGGCGAATGACGCGACGTTCGATGGCGCAAACATCGTTTCGAGAGGAGACATGGTCTTGGTGGCCATCAACTACCGTCTCCTGGCGTTTGGCTTCCTAGCCTTGAAGGATGGCAAGACGAACGGAAACTACGGGTTGGCCGACCAGATCACCGCCCTGGACTGGATCCGCGCACACATCCACAACTTTGGCGGTGACAAGGACCGCATCACCGTCTTTGGCCAGTCGGCGGGTGCTGCCTCGGTCCGCGCCCTGATCGCCTCGCCCAAAGCCGCGGGTAAGTTCTCGGGCGCCATCATGCTCAGCGGCCTCGGCGGCATCAACTACGGCACCACCTACTCGGAGTACTACACCATTGACGAGCAGGTCACCGTGGCCGCCACGCCGATCCTCACCGCCACCAACTGCACCGACGCGCCCTCCCAAGCCGACTGCCTGCGCGCGGTGCCCGCATCCACCCTCAGCAAACTTAGCTCCGCCCGCTACCTCGTCGTAGACGGCACCTACCTCACCACCGCCACCCTCCCGCTCACCGGCCCGCGCCTCCCGCTCAACCTCATGATGGGCATCACGCACGACGACGGCGCCCCCTTCATCTCGTTCCCCCCGACCACCACGCCCCCCATCAACCAATCCACCTACCTCGCCTCGCAGGGCTTCGCCGTCCCGCCCGCCTCCCTCTTCCCCGTCCCCGCCACCACCGGCAACGCCACCCTCGACCTGTACACGGCCTCGGCGCGCCTCGCCACCGACGGCATCTTCCGCTGCGCCGCGCAAGCCACCGCCGCCGGCCTGCTATCCCCTCACGGCGGCCGCCTCGACAGCATCTACTACTACGAGTTCGACCGCTCGTACCAGACCAAGGGGTGGCCCGGCACGGACGTGTGCGAGCCGCGCCCCGCGCCGGGCCATCCCTACGGGGATCCGTCCTCTGGCGCGGCGCCGTATCTGAAGTGCCATTCGGGGGAGCTGTATTATGTGTTTGGGAATTTGTGGCGGCAGGGCCTGCCGCTGAGGGATGAGGAGGGGGATTTGGGGTTCTCGAGGGTCGTGTTGGATGGGTTCGCGGCGTTTGTGAGGAGGGGGGATCCAAATTTGGAAAGGGGGTGGATGAGGGCGAGGGGGTTTGATCAGGTTGGGGGGGAGGGGGTGGGGAGGTGGTGAGTTCTTTTTTCTTTTTTATTTTTTTTTCTTTGTTCTCTCCTTTTTGGGAGGGGAAGGGGGTCCCCTTTTCGAGATCTTATACCTTGCTACTCTTTGGTTGGTTGTTTGCGAGGACTGTTTGCTAACGATTCTTCACTCATAGGGAGCCGAGCAGGAAGGGGAAGCCGACCATGAGGGTGCTGGACTGGCCTAAGCCGAAGCAGAGCGGGTTTAGGGAGCTTGAGCAGTGCGAGGGCTTGGGGCTGGGGCTGGATTATTTTGTGGAAGAAATAGGGGAGTTGGCTTGAGGGTGTGAGTGTGTGCTTTACGAGACGAGCAATCAATATCGCTGCTTTGGTTGTACCTGCGTATTAGGAACCACCATAATGAGGTTGTTGAGACGAGAATTCAACGTGAATATGAATATTAGATTGCTGGTAATGTCCTCTGTTAAGCCAACGACCCAATCCCATGAGATATACAAGAATGCCCATTACGCCTATCCCAATGCCCACCCACCCCCATTTTCCTAGAGGCGCCCCCACCCCCCAAAACCCAAATTACCCTCCGACCTATAACCCAGCTGCTAATCCTTGCCCAGCAAGTCGCGCCCGGGTATCCCAGGCGTACAAAAAGAATGATAGACGGATAGTACATTTTAAAACTTCAACTTCCCCGTATCCTCCACCGCAAAACTCCACAGCGGCGCGTCGTTGGGCTCCCCCAGCCGGCTCTTCAGCCAGCAGGTGGCCCGGCCGTCGTCGAAATCGCCCTCGCCCCAGCCCGCGCCCACGCACCCCTCCTGTGAAGCGCACAGGTCCATGCACTCGTTGAGCGTGTCGGTGGGGGTGTGGTAGAGGTCTTCGGTGTCGCCGAGGTTGGAGTTGTAGTCTGTTGGGGAGGGGGGGTTAGGTTGGGTTGTGGTTATGACTGTGGGGAAAGGGGGGGGGATATGTACCTCGCCCGCAGAGAAGAAGATAGCTCTTTTGGGGGTTCTCCGGGGATGTGTAGAGTGTGAGGTTGCTAACGGGACATGATATGAGGCCGGTAGATGGGCCGGCGCTTGCGGTGGGGAGGGGAAGGGTCCTGGTTGGTGAGGGGGATGGTGTT